CATGGTCATTTGCTAGAGGACATAAGAGTTTGTGCTTGGTGTATTTTGGAGGAGGGTGTGGTGTCCATAGCAAATGGTTAAAAAATGTGGAGTTTCCTTTAATTTCCTGCTTCATAGTATTGAGTTGAGAACATGATGTAATGGTTTCAGAGGTGGAGTGGGAACAGTGGTATGTTGAGCAGTGACATCAGAAAACTAATTTCATTTTCACCACAGTTCACTAACAAGGTGGTGCATGTTTAGCTTCTGTGAGTGTGAAATCAACCACTTGATGATCTTTATTTTCAGAGAAACCTTTGTTGTGAGCACAGCTATGGACTTCCACTTTAACTTCCATTTTGTGGGTGGATATTTAGTCTTAAGGTTTTTTTCCCCTGGCTAATGCAAGCGTGTGCTGATGCTTGTTTTCTTTCCTCTGCAGTCAGTGCCACTTAGTGCGTTAGAACTAGGCCTGGAGACTGATGCCACAGCTGCTGTCAAACAAGAACCAGAGACTGTATCAACTCCAGCCTTATTAAATGTTCGGGTAAGAACTGGTACTTCAGAGTTCTGTATGTACTTGTGGTGGGTTCATCTTGGCTGGATACCAGGTGCCCACTGAGCTGCTCTGTTCCTTCCTCTCTTCAACTGGCTGAGGCGAAAAAAATCCAGGATGAAGGGGTTGTGGGTGGAGATAAGGACAGGGAGAACAGCAGTTAACTGTCATGAGCAAAATAAGCTTGGGGAAGTATTTAATTTATTGCCTGTTAACAATGGAGTAGGAAAATGAGATATAAGAGCAAATCTAACACCTTCCTCCCACCCCTCCCTTCGTCCTGGCCTCAGCTTCACTTCCAGCATCATCACATGTTGTCTTTGCCACTCCTTCCTCCATACTTTCTTCCCCATCTTCAGCAGCTCCTTCACAGACTTTTCCAATCTGGCTCCTTCCCGTTGGCTGCAGTTCTTCCTGAACTGCTCCCATGTGGGCCCTTTCCACAGGGTGCAGTCCTTCAGGAACAGACTCTTCCAGTTGCTGCTTCACAGCATTTTTTTACCCCTTCTTGAATACGTTTCAGGGTTCCTGTACCTGTAGCAGCAATGGTTTGTGCCTGGGTGATGAAGCCTTCATCCTCATTTTTTATTTCCTTTCCCTTACCTTACAATCTAAAAATACCATGAAAAAATACATGCAGCAGTATCTTGATAGACATTTCTTGCTTAGACTGTAGCACCACAGGATGATAACTGAAGCATCTTAGCATGTTATGTGAAGATATTTCTTATTACAAGAATCTTTTGAAAAATGGAGACTCGTGTGGCCAAGAGGGAAGGCTAACAGAGCCTGCTTTTTTATCTCCCTGTTCCTTTGTTGCTAGCAACCACCATCCACCACAACCTTTGTGCTGAATCAAATCAATCAGCTTCCAACTTTGGGGACTACAATAGTGATGACAAAAACAACACCTGTTACAACCACGAGGCAGACGATCACCGTAGCCAAGATCATTCAGACCAGCACAACCACTCGCCCCTCGGCTGCAGCACCAGCCGTACGCAATGCCCTGACCACTGCACCTCCCAAGGACCAGATTCAGCTGAAAGATCTGCTCAAGAATAATAGTCTTAATGAACTCATGAAATTGAAGCCACCACCTAATATTGCCCAGCCAGTAGCAACAGCAGCAAGTGAGTTTTCTTCTTTTTTCATGGAGTATTTTAGACAAATGGTGAAAGAATAGAATACGAAGATCTTTGCATGTCTTATGTTTTTATTGATTAGTAGAATATCACAGCAAAATTAAATGGTCCAGAAGAGCTGATAAATTCTATTCTAACTTTAATAGTGTTAGAATTCAGGGTAAAGCAATACAAAATAACAGGCTTTAAAAAAAAAAACATTTAAGCTCTTGATTTACTGCAAGGAATGAGGAAAATAACACTTCACATTGCAGCTGGCAATTGGGTAAAGTTAATTCATGAACATTACTGAAGGTGATTTAACTATCTCTTGAGTTTACATCAGTTTCTGTTCTGCTGTACACTTGCTGTGGAACCTGTGACAAATGAGTATTGTTTTTTTGGCATCTCCAAAATTAGGTTTGCAGTACATGCTGATACTCCTCTGACAGGATGTTTCTGTAAAGCATCTGAAAGAGGACATCTGTCCCTGTATGTTTCATGGGAGGCATCAGGTTAACTGTGTCTAACAACTGAAGTCCAAAAACTTGCTGTTTGCTTCCATTTTACTTCTTAAATTTGTTCTTAAATGCCACTCTAAATCTTTTTGGAGATTCCTTTCATAATCTTACATATATTTTTTTCTAATATGTGGACATCGTATACGGTCAGCTTAATACGAAGGAAAAGCTGCATGTGTATTTGTATTGTTTGCTGTTTTCAAGTTACTCTGATTTTAGCATGAGGTTAATTAAGATCAGAGTACTTGAGTTTGAAAATACCTCTATTGCTGCTTTTTGTGAAAGCATGCAGGCTTTTTCTGGTTACTATATTTTAATTGTCTCTGAAATAAGATGTCCTGATTTTGCAGGTGGGGTTGGATGGGGTGTGCAATGAAGGAAACTGTTGGTTAGGACTGAAACAAAAACAATGTGCCACCTTGTTCCATTGCTTTCTCTTATGGAGTTGTTGGCCAAAACAACCTGATGTAGTTGAGACACCAACTGAAGTTGGTGTGGGGTATAAAGGAGTGAGGAAGAGGAATGGGAAAAGATTTTATAGGACTGACTGGAGGTTTTATCCCTTTATGCTGAATGAGAGCTCTCAGAAGCACACAAGTAATTGGTAACATCAAAGGGTGATAGTGGCACTACTGCAGAAACTGCTTGAATCTGTAGCTTCTGTAGTAAGTGGAAAGGAGACATGCAGCTTCTGGAACTGCTTTTCTAGGGTTATTTTGTGTTTGTGTTTTGGGATCTTTCTTTGTGCTTACAAAAAAAGACATTTGTAGAAAACTCAAGGGCAGAGAAGCTCTTGGAAGGAAACATTGACTTTTCAGGTAATTTAGGCAGCAGGAGTTCTAGATTGGAAAACATTAAAAAGTTATGCAATCTCTTTGAGGATAACTTTATTTGCAATTGTCTTAGTTGGTTTTAAGGCTAATTATGTTAAATTACATGCACTGACTGTCAACATGATGGAAGCTTGACAGTTGCTTTTAATGTTATACATGCAACCTTGCGTAGATTGTTTTAGTTCTGTAGTGAGCCAGATGCTTCCAAATGTGGCTCAGGACAGGAGTTAATAAATCTTCATCTTGAAGGGTCCTGTTATAAATTTTAAACAATTAAGTCCAAAGTGTTGAATTTTTCTTTTACAGAAATGCTTGTAGTTTCTCCTAAGGTGGTAAATGCCACCAGACCAGGTAAGTTCATCTCTGCTGCAACACTGGGCTTTCTGGTTTGTTGTTACACTTCAAAGGCTCACAAGATGGAGTATTTCTAAATACTACTTATGCACTTGGTGATGGTCCAAAGTACTTTTTTTTTTTAATGCTCAAACTAGTACAGATGTGGTGGTGTTACATGGGAAGCTTCTTCAGTCAAAGTAGTAGCAGGATTTAACTCCTTGCTTATCTACTTTTTAATTTGGACAAGAACCTTGATTGTGTTCTTGAAACACCAGAGTGCTACTTTACAGTTTAAGCTTCCCTTCCAGCTCATTATTAGAAGGCTGTTAATTTGAGTTGGTGTTTGGAGGGACTTCCTATCAAGCACAGCTTTTCTTTTGTAGCTGATCTGAGCAATGGTGCACTGAAGAAGGAGGCTTCTACAAAAGAGGTAGCAAGAATATGGATAAATGATATTAAAATGAGAAGTTTTTCACCTACTATGGTAAGTAGTACAAATGGTTAATTTGCTAAATGAGTGTTTTATTGGCCACAGCCACCTGTGGCTGGTTTCAGTAGTCACATACATATGGCTTTTGTGGGGTAGAGTTATCAGGTGCATCTGCTCAAAAGGTTAGTTTCTCTGACAGATGAATACTTGATTAGATGACTAAAACTAAGAGCTGTGTAGAGCAGACTACCTGTGTAGTAAATGACAGTTCCAAGAAATTATTGTCCTTAACCTCATTGTGTGAACAAAGAAGGGTGTGCTCCAATTAAAACTGAGTGATGTGTCACTTGTTCTGTGCTTTATGGCATTTTCTCTTAAAATAACCTCATTCATATAACTAGCAGTGAGGAAACCAGCAGACTTTCTCTAGCATGGCTGTGAAGTCCTGGGTGGTTTAATTTAAAATGTAAATTGAGTGTCATTCAGTATTCTCAATCTGATAAAAATACACATCATGCTGTAAACACTTGAGTTTCAGCATCTTCGCTGGTAGCTAGAATCAGGCTGAAGTCTGTGCTAAGCAGTGTTCCTTGGTGACTGGCATGCAAAAGGCTTTTCAGGTTACTTTAATATTAAACATTGAATTAGTAATTGTGGAAGATTTTGGATTTGTCACCTAGCGGGTACTTCAAAAGTGTTCATATATTTACATTGATCCAGATCAGTGAAAATGACTGTCAGGTTTCAGAGAATGCTGGATAGAACTGGGATAGAACAGTTACAATAGTAACTGAACTTCCCTGAACTTGTGAAAATATGTAATGAAGCTGAAGCTGCTGAGACTTCATGAAGTCTAACTTGAGAGTTAGGTTTTCGCTGTTGATTACCTCTTGTGTTTTCAAGGCAGTTTTCTTTAAGTCATAGTTTGCATTTAGTGTGAAGTAAGAAGTGCTCCTTTTCTAGCTCTGCTTCTGTGAGTTTGGATGACTTGAATCCTCTTGAAAAGGAGAGGAAGTTCCCTGACTTCGTGTTTGAAGGGTTGTTGAGATTGTAAGAAATGTGTATTTCCATGTGTAGTTTTCCCAGCTTCTCCCTGGTTCATTTAGTGCAAGTGTTAAAACATTAATTGCAAGTTTGTGCTCATTTCACTTCTCAGATCAATTTCCAGGACATAGAGTATTAACAATGTGCTGTTTAACTAATGCAGGTATTTCTTTATTCCAGAAAGTGCCAGCAGTAAAAGAGGAGGAGGAACCTGAGGAGGAAGATGAAGAGGAAATGGGTCATGCAGAAACTTATGCTGAGTACATGCCAATAAAACGTAAGCCCTAAGGTTTTTTACATTAAAAGGCTGAAATTTTTTGAGAGCTGATGTTTTCTATAGTTATGAACACCAAAGGACAGGTTACCATCTGAATCAAGTAAAAAGAACCTGGATTTGTGGTGGGTTTTCCTATTTGGAAGATATGCAGGTAGTTTTTTAATAGAAAAGGAGTTTTTCAGTGTATCTTCAGGCAGTACTTTTTTCAGGAATTTGATGAGCCAAGATGAGGCTTTTTTCACCTGTATTAAGATGCTTTGTGCCTCAGCAGAGGAAATTTTTAAGGAGAGTAGCTGGTCACTGTTACACTTAAGTATCCATTTTGAGTCTGAAATTACCCTATGCATGTTCTTCCTGCATTGTTCTTAACTGGCTTACAGCTGGTTTCTTGTGTGATTTTTTTTTTTTCCAAGTGACTCTTTTACAGTTATTAATTACCATCTCCTCTTTTTTTCTCCTTTCTCTTTATCATAACCAGTGAGAAAAAGCTGTTACCTAGTTTTCTAGCTACATTGCTGATCTGCTCTAAAAGCAAAGCAGAAAACGTGGCATGGGATTTGTAGCTAAATGGTTAAATTGTATTGTCACTCATGAGATCTGTCAGCAATTAAACCATGTCTGTTCTAAATCTTTTCTTCTCATACTGCTTAAAACCAGCACTATATAAATAGTGAGAAGAATGTTGTTTTTGTAATTCTGGCATCTTGGGCCTGCCCCTGGCCTTTTGGGAAGGCAAGGTTCAGACCAGTTTTGTTTCAAACATACCAAGTACACAAGTATTTTAACTTTCTATTAACTGAGTTTTACCTAATTTCATAATTAAGGGATGGTGGTGAGAAGAGAAAAATAAGTTAGGATTGTATTGATATAAAATCAGGTTAATGCATTCCTTTACAGTGCAGTTTAACACTTGAGGTACTGTTGCAATGAAATAAGTCGAGTTCAGCCTTTGCAATAGGCAATTGTAAATTGTTTTGATAAATGTAAGAACCTGTGCTGCAGCAACAGAACTGAGTATTGTGTTTTCATCTTCTCCCTTCCTCCCCTTCCTTTTTTAACCAGTGAAAATTGGTCTACGCCATCCTGACCCAGTAGTGGAAACCAGCTCATTATCCAGTGTAACTCCCCCTGATGTGTGGTACCAGACATCAATATCAGAAGAAACAATTGATAGTGGCTGGTTGTCAGCTTTGCAGCTTGAAGCAATCACTTATGCAGCCCAGGTAATGCTAGACATTGGCACAGCTTAAAAGCCACCACAGAATTTAAGAAGGAAAATTGCTATCTGACAAATGCAGCTCTGTCAGTTTTACAAAGTGATAAAATAGTAAAACCTTAAAGGTTTGAGTTGCATTAGAAGGTGGCAGGTGAGTTGCAGCTCAGATAAATGTGAGGTAATATGTCTAGGAATGCTTTGTCTACACTGCTGCCATGATGCTGATCTTGAACTGTCTTAAAGCTCAGGAAGGACATCTTAGTAATTATTTTTAATTGACTGAAATAACTGAGTAGCTGCATTAGCAGCAGGCTAGGAAGGCCAACACTGTTTGGCATCATGAGGAAGGGTGCAGAGAATAAATTGAGTGTTATTTTGCTTCTTTGTTAAACTTCAGTGGGCCCACATCAGATGTTGCACGTGCGGCTCTCTATGTGTCAGGGAGGTAGTGAAGTTAGAGGACTATTAAAATGGTCACAGGAGAAAATAAGTTTCCTCATGACAAGAGAGTAACAAGACTGGGATGCCTCAGACTGGAGAGGAGAAAAATGAAGGGGAATTGAACCAAGGTTTATATTATCAAGAAGACTGTTCCCCCAAAACAAGAACAAAGCAGAACTCGTTGAAACTGATAGGAGATGGGTTTGAAATGGATAGAATGCTCCTTTACACAGGCAGTGGATGTCTGAGTCTTGTGACCTGAAAAGGCTGTGCAAGTGTGCATCAGTGGGTGCAAAAGCAGCCAGTTTGGGACTTAAAGAATTAGATATGTACAGCAATTTAACTGTAATTTTAGGTGCTGAAGGAAGAAGGGGAGAATAGATCACAAAGTAGTTAAGACTCATGCTCTCCTTAAATAAAATACCCTCTTCCCACTCTTAGGAGGCTGCTTGGCTGGATGGTCCTCTGGCCTCATCCATTAGGATGTTTCTTATGTGTGCACATTTCTGACAATCCACAGTGATGTCTTCTGGAGAATGGACACAAGTTTTTTGTACTTTCTCCTACAGCAACATGAAACATTCCTGCCCAATGGAGACCGAGCTGGATTCTTGATAGGTGATGGTGCTGGTGTAGGAAAAGGAAGGACCATAGCTGGAATAATCTATGAAAATTACTTGTTAGGCAGAAAAAGAGCAGTCTGGTAAGTATGTCAGGATTTGTTAGAGCAGACACTAGTAACTGTGGTACTGAAATTCAGTGTAATCTGTCTTCTGACAGATGTTCTAGCAACTGCTCTTTGGACTTCTGCTGCAACTTACAGAATATATCCTTGTTTTCTCCAGGTTCAGCGTGTCAAACGATCTGAAATATGATGCTGAAAGAGATCTGAGAGATATTGGAGCAAAAAACATATTGGTTCATTCGTTAAACAAGGTGTGGAAACTTTTTACAATGTACAGTAGAGGCAGTACAGGTACAGGTGTGTGACAAGTTGTGCATGTTGACTGTTTTAAGAGTAAGAATGTACTAATTTCAATAAATTTGCTGTCTAGGGCTTGTTTGACAGGCCTTAATCTTAAGAACCACACAGTGCTTTAAGTTATTCATACAAATGGGCCCCCTGTAGGATTAAGTCTTGGCATGTGATTTTTCTTTTAAACTACTCCTCAAGCTGCTACTGAAACTACTAGTAGAGTATTTCCTAGGAGTCAAAATATTCTTTAAATCTTCTAGACTTTGTTGCATTTTAATTTTTTCTTTTCTATCTCCCACCACACATTTAATCTGTAATACACTTTTATGTAATACTTGAATAATAAACTTCCTCAGTAATTTAGGAAAGCAGCAGTACCATGTGTTATTTTTGTAGCCTCTGCCTCTGATCAGGATTAGCCACTCACATAAATTGTGAAGTGTGATTGCTGGATGAGTTTACTGAACTTCAAATTTTAGGCTGGTATTTTTTGCTTTGATAATCCTTAATTTCTTAAAATACAGTAAAGCTTTAGAAATTGTCATTTTTGGTGGCAACTGTAAATGCACTTGATCCATCAGCTTTAAGGAATGTCTTGAAACCCAAATATTAATTACAATTCAGTTAAGGAAACAATGTGGTCAGAGTGTGGCTGTTACTCTTTTGAGGTCTCCGATCTAGTCTTCTTTAAGTATTTAGGCCCTTTAGTATATTTAAGGCCCTGGATTACCCCTTAACCACAGTGCCATGTGCCAGCTGTGCCCTAGTCACAGTGCAGGGATACAGCTCATTCAAACCTTGAGGCTAAGACCAGCATCATCCCTTGATCATATGGTCGGTGGGTTTGAGGAGGGGTCTCTTGAATAATTTCTCTAATTTCTTCTCTTTTTTATTGCAGTTCAAGTATGGGAAAATTTCTTCCAAACATAATGGAAGTGTGAAGAAAGGTGTTATCTTTGCTACTTATTCTTCTCTTATTGGTGAAAGCCAGTCTGGTGGTAAATACAAAACCAGATTAAAGCAGCTCCTTCACTGGTGTGGTGAAGACTTTGATGGAGTTGTATCCTTTATCTGGAGATCAGTTGAGTGTAACCAAATGGCTGTTTAAGCTTGCATCTTTAAAAACAATCTTGTATTTTTATTTACTGATATTTTTAGGTATTGTTCTTAATCCATTCCAGTGACAGTTGTGTGCATCTCTGACAGCAGACTTGAAGTTTTACAAACTGTGCCAAATCTGTTGGTGTCATTGTTGCTGCACAGCTCAGGTACAAGAATGAAGCTTCTGTGTTTTCTGCAGAAACTGATAAAATATGTCTCAGGACCTGAAGTTTACCCTGGAACTTTCTTCAGTGAATTCTTACAATTTTTTTTAGTATCAACAGCATTTTAAAGATCTCATGTTAGTAATTGTGCTCTTAAATATTTCAGTTCAATATTTTTCCCAAAGTTTTTAGTGAAAAATGGCTAATGTCTTTTTAAGTTTACCATTTCCTGCTGTCACTTCTTGTAATTAGCAGATTTTTCTTCTGTTTTAACTCCTCATTCTAAAAATAAGAGAGACAAAGTTGTGTGTGTTTTGTTTTGGTTTTTTTCCTTAATTATGATTTCAGATTGTATTTGATGAGTGTCATAAAGCTAAGAATCTGTGTCCTGTTGGTTCATCAAAACCAACCAAAACAGGTCTGGCTGTACTGGAACTTCAAAATAAACTTCCAAAAGCCAGGGTTGTTTATGCTAGTGCCACAGGTATGTACTGCTTGGATTGTAGGAATTGTCTCTCTGGGCTTTTACTGGCACTGGTACAGAGTGTGTTTTTTTTTCCTAGGTGCATCTGAGCCAAGAAACATGGCCTATATGAACCGCCTGGGAATCTGGGGGGAAGGAACTCCATTTAGGGAATTCAGTGATTTCATTCAGGCTGTTGAAAGAAGGTAATACTTGAAAGAGCTACAGTCAGAACACCTGTGGTTGTGGTTGACTCTGCTTTCCAGTTCCTTTCTCTTCACTCACTCATCTTGCTTTGCAAACTTGTCCCGACACTAAGAACTTTCTGACTCTGGCTTCCATATTTAGCAGAAACAGAACCTGTCTTCTATGGTAAAAAATGGGAAGTTTCCCTTGCTCACAGAAAACTTGGAGAGCTTTAGCAGCTTGCTGGGAAAACAGCCCTCTTTAAAATGTGGATGTTTTCAAAAGAAAATATTTTGCTGCTCATTGGTAAAACACACTGGGTGTCCTGAGGGTGCTCAGGATTGCTGCTGTCTCACTATATGCAGAAGCCCTCTGATGTTTATGCATCAGCTTAGGCAGTTTAACAGGAAGGAGTCTTGTCTTGGTGCTTTCTGGCATAAGAACCCAGTTCAGAAAAATTCTGTATGCTGTTGCAAGGTACTTTGTATTTCAGAACTTACTATAAAAATTAAATACGAGAGGTAATAGAAAATGCACCTGCTACATTCTTTGGTAGGTGAGCAACTTAATATATTGTGTTTTGCCTACTTTAAAAGAATTTTTAACACTTCAGAATGCTACAGTAAGGCTTAATATGCAACTTCTTGCATATCATCTACATGATGCAAGAGTTTTCTAGGCTGTGCAGGTGTTGTCTCTGCTTCATTATTGCTCTTTTGATGCATACTCAGTAATGAAATTACAGGCCCAAGCTTGTGAGTAGGTTGGCTTTGCAGGTGACTTTGTGCTCTCAAGGTATTGCTGAAGGTGCCTTGATGCTGAAGAGAACTTAAGTTGCCTGCTAGTTTAATTACTTTCATAGCAGCATAAATCTGAAGAGCTTAATACAGTTTGTGTTCATTACTTTAAATCTGCAGTGGAGCTTATAAATTGCAGTGCAAGATTTTTTGGTATATTTGGACCAACAGTTATCAAACTACAGTTTGCAAGGTGCTGTCTCCTGATGTATGCTTGGTAATTTGGGCAAAATTAACTATTTGAGTGTTTATACCTCTTGGGATACAATCAGTACTCACAGGCCATTGATGTAGTTTTAGATGATGCTTAAATTTCAAGAGACCCCTTCTCCCCTGACTGTGTTTAACCAAACAGTCCTTCACATTTGTCAACATATTTTCTAAAGCACTTAAGTATGTTTTTAACAAATCCTTGCTCTTGAAAATTCTAATACAGACTTAATTTGTTCCCTTTATTTTAGAGGTGTTGGTGCCATGGAAATAGTTGCTATGGATATGAAGCTGAGAGGAATGTACATAGCAAGACAGTTGAGTTTTTCAGGTGTAACTTTCAAAATTGATGAAGTTCTGCTTTCACAAGAATATGTTAAAATGTACAATAAATCTGTGAAACTGGTAAGAACACCTTCTTAAATTTGCTTTCTGTACTGTGTTTTGAGAGGCTGAACTAACTTGATTTAAACTTGAGTGCTCCTGAAGCAGCATGGAGTACTGTTGGCTGTTGAGAGCCAGGAGTAGCATCATCTTGCCTAGTCTTAATGTCAAGATTTCTTTATTTAAAACTTGGCAAAAATTAAGTGAGGTTTTTCTCTTCTAGGGATCTTGCTTTGTGTTTAATTATGGGCAGTGCTCTTTGCTTCTTTACCTGCCTGTATTAATGGAGAAACCAGATACACAGTATTTTCTAATTATGTTTGCATTGGTAGTACTGTAAAAGTATCTGCTTTTCATTGAGTGCAATTATCTTCTGGATTTACCAAACCATAGTTACATTCTTTGTTGTGAGTTTTGTTTGATATATGAGTTTCCTTTACTTGCATTCCTAAGGTAGTGTAACTTTAAACTTGTCTGGTTTTATTTGGATATTAACCAGTGTAGCTGTGTAGCCTTGATATGTGACATGTACAGCAATTAACACTGTCTTCTGCAGTGGGTCAGTGCCAGAGAGAGGTTTCAACAAGCAGCTGACCTGATTGATGCAGAACAACGAATGAAGAAGTCCATGTGGGGCCAGTTTTGGTCAGCTCACCAGAGGTTTTTCAAGTACCTTTGCATAGCATCTAAAGTGAAGAGGGTGGTGCAGCTGGCTCGGGAAGAAATCAAGAATGGGAAAGTAAGTTGATCAAGACCTATTTTTAAGTATCTTTGTTAAATGTAAAGCTTTTAGAGGTGTTTTTTTTGTATGTAACATTTTCAGACATAGTATGCTTTTGTGCTTTCTGGTATTGAAGCTATTTAGTGAGCAGAAATTCGGGCAAAAATGAACTTAGAAGTCAGTCATCTTGGTAACAATGCCTTGTATTCATTTGTCCTTCAGTGTGTTGTTATTGGCCTGCAGTCAACAGGAGAAGCAAGAACATTAGAAGCTTTGGAGGAAGGTGGTGGTGAACTGAATGACTTTGTCTCTACAGCAAAGTAAGATTGAAGTCTGTTAAAACTGTCCTTTACAAAACTAACCAGTCCAGTTTAGTGTGTGTAGTAATTTGTCCTTTCATGAGTAAAATATGCAAGGGTGCAGAGGAAGTTCAGTCTCTTAGTACTGATGTTCTTAATCTGTCAGTGCTGCCCAAGTGAAGCCTTGGTGCTGCTGGCACCCTGGGAAATGTGTTCAGGTGTGAAAGGCTGGGACTGTCCTTAAACAGGGAGGAGGGGAAGACTTGCCAGGAGCACACTTGCAACCAAAGCAAGTTGCAATCATGACTTCTCTCTCTCAGCAGCTGAATCAGATCCAGTCCTGAGACTGCCTTGCTGAAGATCTTAATTTAAATCAATCTGTCATTTAAACTCTGAGCAATAAGCAAATGGCAGTAGCTGTACCACTTGATACCAAAACCAAATTAAACAAGTTATAAGTAGCAGTGTTGTAAAGTAAACTTACAAGAAGATGACAAATAATATGGGTGAAAATTATACACAAGGAATAATTCTTCACAGAAGTCAATCAAGCTGTTGAAATGTTACAGGTTCCTACTTGCAAGTAAATGCAGATGTGACTGAAGAACCTTTTTTTCTTTTCTTAAACAGAGGAGTATTCCAGTCTCTTATTGAAAAGCACTTTCCAGCTCCTGACAGGAAGAAGCTGTTTAGCTTGTTGGGAATTGACTTGACTGCTCAAAGTAATAACAATTCACCCAGAGACAGCCCTTGCAAGGAGAACAAAATAAAGAAAAGGAAAGGTAATGCTGAAGTTCTTACCCTCATGCTGTAGTGAAAATGGCAATTTTAGAGCTGTCTAAAGGTGAACTTGGGAATAAATTTTGGGAATGTAAGTCTCAGTACAGTCATTCATGAAAGAGAATGTGTTACAAGTCTCTAAGGCTTCTGTTAGACATTTCCATTATTAGATTCTAAAACTGCTGCTGAAGCAATAGAACCTGTGAATTCAGTGTACTACTTTGCTCAAAATTGGGTTGATAGACCATGGGACAGTATCCCAAAATGCCCTGCATGTGGCATGTCCTGATGCAGACACACAAGCTTTCTTTTTGTTGAGGCTCAGTAAAGAGGAGATTCATACTAACCCACCTTCCCAGACTGATTGTATTCCTACCAAAAAGTTGATCATAAAAAAAGCTTGAGAGGTCTTGCTTAAAACTTAAAATAATTTAAGCAGATCTATTTTTAGAAGTTGAATATTTTTCTAGTATTTATGCTGTGATGGTAAAACAGACCTCAACAGTAGATTACAATGTCTAAACTAACTTGCTTTTTTCTTCTGGGGTGATGGAATTAGGTGAAGAAATAAGCAGAGAAGCCAAAAAAGCTCGCAAAACCGGTGGCCTTGCAGGTAGCAGCTCTGATGAGAGTGAAAGTGAGTCTGATGCTTCAGACAATGAAGAAAGTGACAATGAGAGCTCCAGATTCTTGAGTTCTGGAGATGATGATGACTTCAACCCCTTCAGAGATGAATCCAGTGAAGATGATGAGGATGGTAAGAGAGCTTGTGTTTCACAAGCAAGTAGTTGTACTTGCAGGTAGTAAGCATTGTTTCTGAACCATTTCAAGGTGCCAAAATAGGAGTGTTTGATAAGCTTGTAGTTTAATTTCACTGAGATTGGAATTAGTTCTAGAATCTTGGTTTACATCTCCTGTAAATAGATTTTACACACCAGAGTTCAGACCTTTGTAAGTCGCCTTTTGTGATGAGATTGTAGTTTTTCAGCAGAAAGAATGGCTTTTTGGTAAATAATCAAAACATGTAAAAAAACCCCACCTTTATTTACTTGTAGATCCCTGGCTCATCAGAAAAGAGCATAAAAAAAATAAAGACAAGAAAAAGAAGAAAAGTATAGACCCAGATTCTATCCAAAGTGCCTTACTAGCTTCTGGTCTCGGATCAAAGCGACCCAGCTGTTTTGCTTCCACTGTTGGTACCACCACCTCTAGTACCAACACGTCAGGTAGGAAGTTGTTTCTTTGCTTTTGATTGGCTTTCTTAGCCATTAAGCAGTGAAATTCTAAAATCTGAAGAGTCTCCCTTAAATTTCAGCCAACAGTAACACAAACAGCAGCTTTGTAACAAGTCAGGATGCTGTTGAAAGGGCCCAACAAATGAAAAAAGAACTGCTTGATAAACTGGAAAAGCTGGCTGAAGATCTTCCACCTAATACACTGGATGAGCTTATTGATGAACTGGGTGGTCCTGAAAATGTTGCAGAGGTAGGTTGCTGCTCACATGAAGAGGAAATTAATGTTTTTTTTACTTCTGCAGCCATACATTATCTGATTGCAGTGAATCGGTGTTGTCATTCTTCAAGGTTCCATGTGACTTAAGTATCTATTAAATAGAGAACTTGTTTAACAGTTTTAGACAGTAATCTCCCAGGGATAAGGGTATGGGTTACTTTCACTGAGTGCCTCTGAATTAAAAAGGAACTTGAAGATTGTGTTAGAATACAGAGGAGAGCTCTAAATGGGTAAACAGGTTAATTCTGAGAGTGATAACTTCTTGGGTAACTCATGCTAGTTTCTCTATAGTGGTATATTTCTCTAACTAGTTGTAGTCAGTTTGAAGCTGGTGTACCCAAAACAGCTTCAGTTCATCTTCCAGTGAGGGTCAAGAACCTGCATAATAAAACTGCATCAGTGAAAAGCCTTATGAATTATTCTCTCTTTCCAAATCTCAGTAACTTCAGAAAAATGTCTTTAGTGAGCTGGTTGTGTCTATGAAGTAGAAACATCCTTGTGATTTAATAGACCCTGTTAAAATCAGTGAGAATCTTGGCTGCCAGTTTATTTTTTTAATAGTCTTGGTAAATCCCTTCTGGACAGTAGTATAATACAGTGTCATTTCTACATACATGGGCCTTGTTTTGCTTTTGATTCCCTGAGTTACCTCTAAATAAGTGTTCCATATAGCAGGTAATAGCATCAACCAAAAAATAACCCTGATTCCCTGATTTGGTTTTGCACTTGGGAGTAAATTATGGCATCTATTTTAAGGTCTGCATATGAATAAACAGCATAATGTTTGAAGTTTTTGGTCAATTAATAATTTGGATATTTCTCTAATGAGCTCATGTTTCCTTTTCTTTTTAAAGATGACAGGCCGCAAGGGGAGAGTCGTAAGCAATGATGATGGCAGCATCTCTTATGAGTCAAGATCTGAACTTGATGTGCCTGTTGAAATTCTGAACATCACAGAAAAGCAGAGGTTCATGGATGGAGATAAGGTAGTCCTTAAAGAGAGACAATTTAGAAAAACTTGCCTGATGCCATGGACTGAATAACGTATTCAATTTGTGGCTCTACCATTATCCCACAGTGACTTTTAAAGTACTATAGGTACTAGTTAGAAATCACTTCCAGTTCGCTGCTCTTTGTTTTGTTTTTCAAACCAGTATGTTCAGTCCTGTCTAATGTGAGGCTGCAGTTGCTTTAGCCTGGGTGGCCACAGAGGCCAGAGGTGTGACTGACAGCAGCAACTCTGAGCTGGTCTGGCAAACCAGCTTTCTGGCTTCACTTGGGATGTGCTGCCACAAGAGGGCAAATCGAGTGAATGTAGTTGTTGTGTGAAGCTTCTGTGGCCTGTTGTTACACCTGAGGGTAAATACTCATGTTTCTGCAAGTGACTTGGGTGCAGTCCCAACATTTACATTCTTCCCAGGCCAATTTATTCAGACACTGGAATGGCCACATCCTCTTCCTTACCCAACAGTAGCAGTAACTTTCTGTCTTGTGCATTGCTTCGTTTTGGAGCAAGTCTCCACGTGTCCTTCCCATTCTTTCTGAAGTGCAGGACAACATCAGAGAAACTTGACCTTTGGCACAGCCAAACCACAATGTACAGCCTTCCTGCATTTGCACAGGAAAGTGTTGCTGAAAAGCAAAGTGAAGACCACTCCTTTCATTGAAAAAAATGTTAGCATTTCTGCCTCTGATAGAGAAACCTCCTCCTCTCCCCCCGCTTCCTGCAATAAGACAACCAAGTAACAGTGAAACTATTCCAGATCCACATTAGTAATGATTGTAAAATAAATGTATTTAGAAGCTGAAAATGGAAGCTTGATCTTGGATTTCTTGCTGACTAACAAGTCCTTTCTCATTCAAAGAACATTGCCATCATCTCAGAGGCTGCCAGCTCTGGCATTTCATTGCAAGCAGATCGGAGAGCCAAGAACCAGAGGCGGAGAGTTCACATGACTCTGGAGCTGCCATGGAGTGCTGACAGGGCAATACAGCAGTTTGGTAAATAACTTGTGTCCTTTTCCTAGCAGACTCAGTAATACTGACTGGATTTACTGCCAGTTCTTGGAAAATCAGATTGACTTAAGTGACTGCTTAAGAACCCTTCCAATCTCCTTTATCCCTATGAACAGAATCAGCTTTATCTGTAGACATGACTTTCAAAGCTTGAAAGTTTTGAAAGAACCCCAGCAAACAAACTCACACTGCAGCTTAGGGGGGTTTTATGTATCATGTGTCTGTATGAAAATTGTCAAAACTCTAGAGTGTTTGTGTACTGCCTTCTCTTGGCTGTATCAGAGTAGAAACTGACTTTCAGCAGGATTAAGTTCTAGCTTTTTTCTTTACTCTTACAATTCCTGGTTTATTAGAAATCTTCAGTGAAGTGGAATGTATTTAACATGTGTGCTTCTACTTAATTATCCAGGAAGAACTCATAGATCCAACCAAGTGACTGCTCCAGAGTATGTGTTCCTAATTTCTGAGTTGGCAGGAGAGCAAAGATTTGCATCTATAGTTGCAAAAAGACTGGAGAGCTTGGTAAGAATGTTTCAAGAAGTCTTATCTTTCATTTCAGAAAATAGAACTTAGATTTGTTTTTCTTAGAGCTGGATTGAATTACAAAGGTGTGTCTTAACAGGGAGCCCTCACTCATGGGGACAGACGAGCTACAGAAACTCGAGACCTCAGCAGATTCAATTTTGACAACAAGGTGATGGTTTTATTTCTGTCTGAAAGCTCATGCTCTGGTGCTTATTGCACAAATGACCTGTTGAGGAAGGCTTTCTTCCACCTTCTGTGAAGTGTTTTGCTTTTAGCTGTATTACTTTCTGATAGGAGGTCTCTTTCCTGAGGTAGCCAGTGATCATTTTAGTTATGTTTGAAAAGCCACATGGAACACAAATGTGTGTAAATTACTTTTCTGCTAATGATCCAAGGCTGAAGTAAATGGTATGTGTCCTTTCAGTCACAGCTGAAAGATTACTTTGGCAATTCTAACTAGAAACTAAGACTGGGCTCTTCATGTAGTGTGGTTTATAACTGAAGAGATCATAACTAGTTCTTCTTACTATTGTAGAGACACTTTTCTTAGTGTGAGTTACAGATGCTTGTTACCCTGTGTGCTTGGGGCTGAAGCACAAAGGCTGGATCACATTGTTAGAGCAGCTTTCTTTTCCTTACACAGTATGGCAGAAATGCTTTAGAGATTGTTATGAAATCCATTGTGAACTTGGACTCCCCAATGGTCTCTCCTCCTCCTGATTTTCCTGGAGACTTCTTCAAAGGTAAGTATAATTCACTGGGGGCAATCACTGCCTCTTGATTGTTCTCCAGCATGCAGAAAATGCAGATAACTTCAGAGCTAGAAGACATTGTTACTGCTAAAACCAAGCAGCTGGCCCAGATGGGCTCTCTGTGCATGTCAGGCCTTTGCATGTTGCTTGAATGTTGAAGTTCATGTAAGAAACAAAATGTGTGAACTCTGATACCAGGCATGTTCTGTGTCTGGTCCAAGTGTTACAGACAGCTCTTCATTTTCCTGTTACCTGTTCCAATATCTTGCTCTCCTGTGGGCTCATGGGTGGTGCCATTAATAGTTTTCTCTGCCTGTGCTTCCTGGAAGGACAGAAGGCAAAGTTCTTTCTTGCTTCTGAGATATTGAGCTGAATTGCAAATAATGTATTTGAGGGGTGTCAGAAGTTTTGGAATTGGATCCGAAACAAGAATGCTAAACAAGCTGTTACTTCCTTGGTTTATTTATAGAGGGCTAGGCAGCTGTCATCTAACTTCTTTCTTTTTCTTAGATGTTCGTCAGGGATTGATTGGCGTAGGCTTGATCAATGTAGAAGACAGATCTGGAATACTAACACTTGACAAAGGTATTTCTGTGTTTGTATCTTTATAATATTGCTAGGAGTATCATATATCATGATAGTGGATTCCCAGAAACAGAACTGAAGTTGTAAGTACTTGAAAAGTCATTTTTTGGGGGGAACTTAAAAATGTTTTCCTTGTTTCTGAAAGAATGGATTTAATTGAGACGCTTTGAATTCTGCCCAGGAGGTGGTTGTCGTGGAGCTTCATCTTTGTGGACCTAATACATGTATTTCTCATTCTTTTTTTTCAGATTATAACAATATAGGGAAATTTCTGAACAGAATTCTTGGTATGGAAGTACATCAGCAGAATGCTTTATTCCAGTACTTTTCTGACACGTTAAATGCAGTTATTCAAAATGCAAAGAAGAACGGAAGATACGATATGGGCATCCTGGGTGAGTAAAGCAACTTCTCAGTGCTCTTGTACTCCAGTGAGAGCAGAGAAGCAGAATAACTCTGTCCTTTGCTTTTAAGATTTGGGCTCTGGAGATGAGAAAGTAAGGAAGGCAGACGTTAAGAAGTTTTTAACTCCTGGATATTCTACCTCCGGACACGTAGAACTATACACAGTAAGTTAATTCTGTATCTTTGCATGAACTAACAAAACTTATTGCTAAGTTTTTATAACATGACAATGAACTAAGTGTGTGCTGAGTGAGGGAGGTTCCAGGCCTTTCACTGGGCACTGTTTGGTTCTATGATTCTTGAGTTCCTGTGTCTTTAACTGGTTTTGAAGTCTGTTCTAAATCAGACCCCCTGCATGGTTCTCTTCTAGATCAGTGTAGAGAGAGGAATGTCTTGGGATGAAGCAACTAAGCTCTGGGCAGAACAAACAGGTCCAGATGATGGATTTTATTTATCACTACAGGTAAGATTCTTTGTCTCTTGAATTATATTCAGAGAAGCTGGCCAAATATACTGAAAAACTTACTGTTCACATTAATTACTGTCCAGTTTTTGCAAAATGCTTTCAATCTTACATTAAAATTGAAGTCAAGTTTCATTCACACTAAGTATGAAGCACTCCCTTTTAGCTGTTCAGGGTATTTTCTGCTAGGAATGTGAACACAAATTAATAGCTCTTATTTAAACTTACATCAAGAAACCAGATGCTTTCACTGTAAGGAAAAGTTGGGAAGTTAATGTAGATCAGTGGTTCTGTCTTCTAAACGTGTCCTGATTGTTTTTGGTGGTCTTACTGCACACACAGACACACTCACTCTATAAAGAACAGAGTATGGAAGGACTCAAGGTAGATACTGTCACCATGTTTAAACTTACAAAGGTTTTGGGTTTTCTGTTTGTTTTTTTTTTCAGATAAGAAATAACAAGAAAACTGCTATTCTAGTAAAAGAAGTGAATCCTAAGAAGAAGCTTTTTTTAGTGTACAGACCAAATACTGGGAAACAACTCAAACTAGAAACATGCGCAGACCTGAAAAAGAAATATAAGAAGGTAACTATTAAAATGATGCTAGTTTTAAACTTAGATGAAAAGAAATATAAGGACTTTTTTACTGGTATTTGTGTATGATTTTAGCAAGTCAAAAACTAGGCTTATTTTTCCAGAATAGAGCTTGTATTTGGATCATCTTAAGCCCGTCTGCATGGTTTCTGCACTGCTATACCCCAAGCTTTCTGAATATAAATAATTTGTGTTGTGGTAATATGAGTCTTAGGGCCTAGCAAGGGAAAGTTTTGCTTCTGTGCAAAGTGTACAGACCTGCACTTGAGTGAACAGTTACATACAGGGTGTTCTAAGCAATTATTCTGAAGTCTCAGCTCTTTGCTGATGATGTGTTAAATACTGTAATGGATTATTTTGTTTAGAGGCTTGTAAGATAATACTAATACTTTATTCAACAATTTGATGGTGTTGAATTTGTAAAAACTTGAGGAAACTCTTAAGATCAGGTTGATTATTGGAAAAGCTCTGAGATTCTGCTCTGCACAAGGGTTTTGCTCATTCTTAGAGATGGCATTTCCATTGAATGGCCTGAAACTGTAGGATTATGTACCTCTCTGCCATCAGAATGTTGGTGCTCCCTCTCTTCCCATAATAATGACCAAGTTGCTTTTGTTCTTTGCAAGTCTTAATGTATTTTACTTCATGATTATTCCCACTTTCCAGGTACCTTCTGAAGATGCTCTGCCACACTGGTTAGAGCAGTACAATTCCTCTGCAGATACCTGCACCCATGCTTACTGGTCAGTATTTCTATGCACATAAATGCTTTTACTTAAACTCTTCACCTAAACTGATTTAGAATTTCTGTTCTTTTACTCTGTGCAATCTTGTGTGTCTTGCTTGAGGAAAATTGCCCCATGTCCAAAGGACCCAACCTTTGAGTGGAAACATGAAGCTTCACACTTGCCCTTAAAGTCCTACTACATTTGATGAATGCTAATGTAGAAATTGCACTGCCATAGAAGTACAATGACCCAGGAGTAGCTTGTGCTTGAAGTGTTTTGATCTGATCTATTGTTGTAGTAGGATGGTTCAAAGGTTGTTTGGGGAGGGGGAATATTTATACTTCATGTAGAGATGAGACATGTCAGAAACAGCTGTTCCTGCGCTACCTCTTGCGTGTCTGAACTCAGCAGCTGGTATGTTCATTCCTGAGGAACAGCATAACTGGTTGGAGGTTCAGGTTAGTATTGGAGCTTCAGAAGTACACTGATCAGATACCAGTTCCATATGTAGCAGATCCAGGTTCTCAGGTGATCTAAATGAGTAGCATTTGGCTGCAGGCTCCCTCTGCACACTTTGAAGATGTGATCCTAAATAAGCCAGCACTTCTCAAAGCTTTCCCTTTAGACCCATGCTGTGGGTGAAGTCCCCTTCCCTTCCTGTGTGCTTGCAGCCCTCCCTCAACTCTTGCCACATGCTAAATAACTACAGGTCTCATTGAATGGAGTCTTTGGTTTGCAGAACTCTTTCTAAAAACTATTTTCCTCTCTGCTGCAGGAGAGGCAATTGTAAGAAGGCAGGTCTGGGATTGGTGTGTGAAGTTGGACTCCGCTGTCGAACGTACTATGTCTTGTGTGGTTCAGTGTTGAGTGTCTGGACAAAAGTGGAAGGTGTTCTGGCCTCTGTGAGTGGAACCAATGTGAAAATGCAGATAGTTCGGCTAAGAACAGAGGATGGGCAGAGGATTGTAGGTAAGTGGCTTCTCTGGTCCTTGCTTTCCATCTGGGTGTAGAAGGAACTCAGGTCGCTCCCTGTTGAGAGTCACATAGTCATCTTCATAAAGATGCTTCCAATAGAAAGGGCTCAGCAGTGTGAGTGTTGGAGGGGCAGAAGTACAACTGATGAAATCTGGATTTATTGTGTAAATGCTGGTTTGAGTCGGGTTAAAAGAGGAGGAATTTATTCTTTTCCAGCCAGGCTTTGGAACACTTAACACTCTCAGTTCTTTTCATTTACTAGGAACTAAAAAGCTAAGCTACCTTTTGAAGCCATAAGGGCTCCACTTTTTTCCCCACTGCTGGCAAAGAACAGTAAGACCTTGGAATGGCTGTTTTCATAGGGTTTGAGCTGCTAAAAATCCCATGTCTTGATAGTTCAGAATGACTTCAAGGGGATTGCATCATTGTCTGTTGCTAGACTTCTTAGTGGAGCCCTCATACCATGTGCCTCAGAGGCTGAAATCTCCTTTTTTTTTTTTTTAAATGTTGACTTTGTGGATGTGGGGTGTCATGGCAGCTCCTACTCCAGTAATGGGTTTTGAAGACAAAACCAGGTTTTTCATATTAAAGTTTCACAGTGATGTAACTTCTGTGAGACTAGAGCAGCAAAAATAGCTGACTGCTGGTTTTATGGGGCAGTGGGAAACAGGAATAAAATAATGTCTTGAGGAGCAAAATGGCAGCTTCCCTCTACAGCTTCATGACTTAAAGGATCTAGTGACCTCTGAGGATAAACCTCTTCTTGAGCAGCAGAACTTGTAGCTGTGCTTGGTTAGACTTGACACTGGAAACAGTCACTGAGGGGTTGCATCAATTAAATGGTGGGAATCATCAGCTTGAGGTTTTGCTGAACAAATTGTTGGTTTGCTTATGAAAGAATCTATTTGTTGCTCTTTTCAGGTTTGATCATTCCTGCAAATTGTGTCTCACCCCTTGTGAACCTCCTGTCAACATCTGACCAGTCTCAGCAGCTTGCAGTGCAGCAGCAGCAGATCTGGCAGCAGCATCACCCCCAGAGCATCACCAACTTCAACAACGCCTAACAAGACAAACCACAGGTGTTGACTTGGGTGTTTGAGGAAAAAAGGCTGTAAAAGCATATCACTTGCATCAAAATCAGGGACAGATTCCAAAGAAATATAACTTTTTCAGTTCAGTTGTGTGCTCTCAAATACTTTGGGAATAAAGAGATCTAAAAAGGTTGGTAGAACTGAAAGCCAGCAGTTGTTTATGGTGGTGCATCTGTCTTTCCTTATGCTCTCTGTAGTGCTTCCTGTTTGCTTTTACTTTTGGCCTTTTAAGCTACAAACCACAATTTGTTTGAAAATGCTTGAAAATCCCCAAGCAGGCTTTATTTTTATCTTGTCATACAGTGCTCAGGGTTTAACGCAGTGCATCAATGCCATTGCTGTGGGAGATCTCCTTGAATGCATGTATTGAGTATATATATAGAAAATATATATTGGGGTTTTTTTTTTTCCTCTTCGATTTATGAGTTTATAAAAGCATGAACCCTAGAGGTTGCACATCATGCATTCAGGTTCCTTCCCAGTTTCTGTTTGACAGTGCATGTCTCTGGAAACGGGCATGGACAGGATAAACACACCAGACAGGAATTTGGAGAGAAACACAATCTTAGTTGTACAGCATTGGTTATTGCATTTTTATAGTGTTTATACCCAGGTGTTGCATTTTTTTCTGGTTCTCTCCTGGGGGTTATATATTTGAGTCTACAACATGTTCTTTTTTTGTGATAAACATCTTAAATTAAAATTAGTTCCTTTTTAATGTATTAATGGTATTCCTAATGTGTACTGCAAAGATGGCTGGATGCCTGTTTTCCTTAAATTGAAGCATTTCCTTAATCCCAGGTGGTTACGGAAACTTAAGTGCAAATTCACTTCCATCTCGCATACAATCTTCTATTTTTTACTTCATTAATGTAATTTAATTTGTCACTTGTAAGATGAAACCTTACTTGAGCTGTAAATTAGAGAATGGGAAACACTTGAGGGTTCCGCTGTATGTGCTGTTTCTGTTACCCAGTAACTTGAATACTGTTTAATATGTTGTAAGACATTGTAGAGTTTATCTGGAGCTGTTTAAAAGAAATTGTAATGTACAAATGTGAATAGTCACTTATCTATAATATGGGTAAGTTTTGTTTTGCCTATAATAGTAGATGTTTATAAGAAAGTGAAGGACAATGTTTGTCATTTCTTGCTTGCACAGGTTGCACTATTGAAAAATTGAGATTGTATAAACCTGTCCAAAAAAACTACAAGATAATGATCTTGTAGATGTCAAATAAAAGTTATTGTACTAACAAGAAGTGGAGTCTTGTTTAGGCAATCACTGTATTCCAAAAAAACTAACAAGTCTGTACAATTGGAATTGGACAGGACTCGGCATGTTCAGTCTGCTTTAACCAGGCTTCTGTCTTGCAGCCCAGATATCTCAGCTGAACTCAGTAATGAGGCAAGAACTTGTCAGCTGGGTTGAAACCTCGGTGCATATTTGCAGTCAGGTTGAGCTGGCAGGCTCAGAGCAGCCCTCCCCTGTAGCCTGGCTCACTGCTGAGAGCACTCAGAGCCACGTTCAAGTGTGATGGAGGGTGTTTCCATAAGTAACAGGGCCAGAAGCTCCACCAGGTCAGGCTGAAGCGAGTTCCCTGATGGGAATTATTTCCCTTGAGGTTGTGCTAAGGCTGCCAGTGCTGCCCCTCTGGTGTGGGGACAGAGCCCCTGTGGGGCAGGGAGGAAAATCTGAGATGGCTGAGGGGCTGAACGCCCTCCATAGGCCTGTGACCAACTGCAAATACAGATCCAGAATAAAAGGTGCCCCTGCTCCTGGGGTGCCTGCTGTATCTCTAAAGCTCTTGTGCTGCCCCTGGGGAAGCTTGAGGAGTTCTCAGTCCCCTGGTAGCCTGGGCAGGTCCCCGAGTGCTGGAATACCAGTAGCAGCTGATTGTACCCTGCAAAACCAGAGACAAGGTGTGGGGAGGATGTTCCTGTGTTTCGTACCCACCACTGGATGTATTTGGCATCCATTCCAGGAAAAGTAATGGGATTTTGAGAAGAATGTTGGCAGATGATCACTGCAACAGATAGAGAACCAAAGCACTAGTAACAGCAAGCTCTGTGTGGACACTAGTTTTTTATTACTATTATTTGGGGTAGAAACTTCTACCATCTGAGATAATAATATTTTAGCTCTTAATTGTCAGTGAGATGGATCTAGTAGTGGTAGGTTCACAAACATTGGTTTATATTTTTAAATAGCTCATTATCTAAATATACTTCAGTTCCTAAGTGCTCTTCTCAGCCTGTTGTGCTAACGTTGGTTGTTGGGATGAGCAAGCATTGAATTGGATATTCTCTGTATTGATAACCAAGCCCTTCTGCTTCATTTCAGAAGTTTATAGCATATGCTGCTGTTCACTCACACCCATGGACTTGTACCCCCTGTAGGGGGGGAAAAACAACAGTCCTTAGAGGTCTGTAAGAACAGATCCCAGAAATCTGTTCCTCCACTTGCTCTCCTTGGCCTGCTCTCTGCTTCTTGCCACCATCAATGCCTTGGCTTTGTCCTTCAGCCACTAACACATCTGCCTCCTCAGCTCTGGAGCATTTTAAAGCCTTCAAGCTGCAGAAATGTTTTCTCTTGAAAATTCCTGCTTGGTGGTTGGGGTGTGGTTTTTTGGTAGTAGTTTGTTCCTTGCATGAGCTGCTGATAAAGCTTGGGGTGGGGGGGGAAGGAATATAAATAGCAGTGTGGATGGGATAGGGAGCAGCTCTGTGGTATCCTCTGGAGCACTGCCTGTAAGACAAACATCCTCACAGGGAGGAACAAGGAGAGACTAATTGTCATGTCATACAAATTACCAGGCTAAGCAAGAACAATCTCTGTATTTTTCCTACTTGTGGGGCATTGATCTGCTTTGTACAAATCACCATCTGAAATGGATATAAAATGGATAAAGGGTGGATGTCTGATAACAGGGCAAAGCTCAGTGTAGAGTGACAGTAATTTCTGTGCTGCCTGACTTTTTGGAAGCACACTGTGAAAGGGGAAGATACATATTTAAGTTGACTTGGGAATTGAAGGAATAAAATTTGGGGTTTTCTTTTTTAAACTGTCCCTTGACAGCAACTAAATTTTGACTTGTTAACTAGTTTGATATTAATGATCTGTCTGACCCAGCAACTGCAGTTCTAAGCCACTCAAGACCCCCCCTCTGCACAGCAACTGTTCCATTTTTTCCCAATTGCTCTGTGCTCCGTTGGGAACACACACCTCTTGGAAGTTCCCCAAAGATGCTAGCTGTCTAGTCAGTGTGTAGTATTTTCTTTGTAAATGAAGCAAGCACTGCAACCTGTAAACATTTGTCAAGTGAATTATCAAGAGGTTTTTGTATTTTTCTTTTGCATTTGGAATAAGCTTCGTTCAGATTCCATCACAGTCTGTACATATATAGAAAGAGTATGTATGTATATAGAGATGTTAAAGGCTACTGAATTACTGAATGTAAATAACTCCTGTTTTTCTTTGTGTTGATTCTTTTTTTTTTCTTCATGACCTTCCCAAGATGTATTCCTATTTCCTCAGCCTGCCAAACAGGCACTTTGTGTGTACTTTGAAATATATATAGCATATATAAAACTTGCAAGGGATGTCTGCATCCGTTGTGGATGTTATATGTTGTCATCATTTTTTTCAAAACTACCAGTTGTCTGTCTTCCATGATCCTTCTGATGCTTTGTGGTTTTTATTCTATATATTTAGTGTGTAATACATTTCCTTGAGAGAAATTGATTTCTGATGTCTGTCAGGGACTGGTACTGTTCACTTCTTAGTGCCTGTATCAGAGGGAAACAAACATTTTAATTTTCACATGGTTTATTTTCTTTAGTCTTTTGGGGGCTTTTCAGATCTTGGTGTCAATCCTAGAGATGTTTCCATTTTCCTCCACTTCTTGGTGTCTCCAGTTGTGCATTCGTGGAGCTCCTGGAAGTTTTAAATTAAATGCACCAGCAGTAGGACCTGCCCGCTGTCCTAACATGTCAGAGTATGATCACTGTGTTCCCATGGATGGGTACTGACTGTAAAGCTCTCTGGTCAGGGGGTAATATGTGAGTAGAAAAGATGCATCTCTTGTAGAGTATTTCCTGGGAAAGTTCTGAGCTTCCTGTAATGTGCAAAACACGTGGAACTTTATACACTGTCCATTTTTTTACTTGTCTGATAAAAATACATGTATTGATAGAACATTAGAGATGACTGAGAAGTCCCTTGAATTGTCTCTTATTTTGCCCTTCCAGCAGTTGTCACACAGGCTTTCCCCTTCTCCCCTTGCTGGGAGGGACTGTGTCCATACAGTTTTTTCCTGAATTAAGCGGTTTGCAAAGTCCATTGACTGGAGAGTCATGGCAAGAAGCGTTGGGCTGCAAAGAGCAACAAAATACTTCTGGTAGTATCTGTGGTTGGCACCAGCTTTAAAAATGAAGGTGGAGAAACAACAGAGGTGTTTCTGTCGTGGTGTGTGGCTCCCTGTAACAGCTCCCATGGTAAGGGCTGAGAAAGTTGGCAGAACTGATGAAGTAATTGCAGCCACAAACGTGCCCGAGCGCTGGAGAGCTGACACCTTGTGTGCTGCTTAGGCTGTATCCTGACCCTGAACAGCAGCAGGAGAAAAATGTGAAGGAGGGAAGAAAAGACTGGTAATACCAGAGTTTCTCAGCCACAATTTCAACAGCTGAGGGCAGACTGCCCCTAAAGGCTTGTGCTAGAGAGCGGTAAGTGAAAACCTACCAAGAACTTCCCTGGTTTGATGTGCTTCACTGTTTCATAGAATCGTAGAATGGTTTGGGTTGGAATGGTGGGTTTCTTAATTGATCCAAATTTTTTTTTGAGTAGACAAAGTTTGAGGCAGTAGTAAGATTCAAGAAGAGGAACTGGACAGGTTTAAGCCTAGGCCAAAACTCCCATGAGGAATTTTTCACCTGCTGTGTCATGAACGACAGGTTTTGTTGAACTGCACTCCACGTGTGTCGGGGATGCTGACGTTTCTGTCCAGAAGAAGATCTGTGCTGAGGGGACAGACTGAAGTTACCAGGTCAGAGCACATCTGGTGCCCTGTCCATACAGTCCTGCAGTGCTTAAATACATGAGTCAACAGGTGTAAAGTTTTACTTCGTAAGAAGGAAGTTTTATTAGTGTTTCTGAGCTTGGTTGCACTGAGGGCATGACTATAATGACAGGTCACTTGCAGAAGAGTTTTCCTGTATTTGATTTGCACTGGGAAGGATAAAGAGACATTTCTACTGACGTTTCTGATTACACACATATTGATGTATCTACTTTAATTTGGAGAGAATAACCAGTAAAATGTCAAATTCACTGCAGGCACATCGTGGCATTTTTATTTGCCAAGTCATCTGATTTATTTTTCAGTCATTGACATGAAGTCCCAGGGCCCACAGTACTTTACCTGAGGTGGGTGCTCAGCATCTCCCAGCAGTTCATGGAGGGGCTGCACCACACTCTGCAGTACCTTGGCTGGGAGACCACCCCTGCACAAAGGAGATGCCAGGGCTTTTTTTAAAATAGGACTTCACAATGAGTACTTCTTTAGTCCTACACCTTTAATAATCCAATGTGACAGAATCCCAAAGACACACATCGTTGCAGATGAATTGGAGGTGTTCTTTTTATTGCCTGCCCTGACTGGAAACCTTTGCCAACCTTCAAGATTTCCTCCTCCAGGAGAAGGTCCCCAGGTTCCCCCCAGGAGCAGACAACACCTGTGCTGCCAACTGGCCTCACACACAGTGGCAGAACATCAAGTGCCCAGCAGTGAAACATTCCAGCCATCTGCAGAAAGATTTATACTCACCAAAATGACAAACTGTGGAACACGATTAATTCTGTATTGAGTTGGGATTTTTTTGATAAAACATTGTGAAAGAAATTAAACCAACTACAACCTTGGAAATTTTTTTTCCCCTTTTCATTTTCAGTTGTTGATCTTACTCGCACAGGTTGTTTATACTGGAAGGCCTTTCAGCAACACTTCTGCACACATTCACCATTCATTGTTGCTCCATTTTAGGATCCTTCAGACTAGTAGAAGTCATGTTGTAATAATCCAAACATCTTTTCTTTCAATCCATGGCATTTAACCTGGTTAATTTCACTGCTTAATTAAACCGGTTTTATTGGTAATTGAGAGCAGATTCCCAACATTCTCTGAATGTTAATTTTAATGGTCTTAAAAACTGTATCAAGATTGGAGAGTATCAACTTCTTCATAGTTCATGCATAGTATGC